TTATGTTATTTCAATTAATGCTTAAATCCAACAAATCCACTTTGGGTCACTCAGTAACTTCTGAGCACCTGCTACAGCGACAGCTCATAATAGGGTAGTAGACAGTGTATGACAATTAAAAATGTAATTAGACCGTCAGTTAGATACCAAAAAAATATACCTACCCAGTAAATCGTGACGTCACTAGATATTTCAAATCAATATAATCATCGAAAGTACTTAATTTTGTAAGAAAAGAAAAAATACACGTCTAATATTTTAAAACAATCTACCAGACGAACATTAAAATAAAATTTAGTATACTACCCTAGAGCGATCAGACCACCACAGATGGGGCCCAGTAGGGCTGATGCCGATACGGAGCCGCGGACGACTTAACGGGTAGCCGGGGCTCCGGCTCAAAGTGCAGGAGTAACAACGGGGTGGTTTTTAGTCAGTAAGAGTGACATTCCCTCTCGCCTCACCGTGGCGAGAGAAGTAATTGGATGATTTTCCCCCTCAAAAAAAAGTATACGACCCTATTATCAATAATGCTAATATTAAAGAAACAACAAAGGAGGTCAACATAGGAATCGCAAACTCATTACCTATAGACTTAAAAACAAAATAGAATCGAGTTTGCAACTAAAATCATCAGTCACTGTAACTCCGTTACCGTGTGTGCATAGCGGTTGTTATGTCGGTCAGTGGGTTCGTTCCCGTTTGATGCAATTAAACGATTCACTTTGCATTCTGTGCAGTCATGAATTTCGCGTTTGTGTGACGTTTTCTCTTTGACGTGAAGTGATATAGTTTAAGGAATTATATGCCTTATGTATATGGCTTTATGAGGTGTTTTGTACGATGTATATAGAGCATAGTAACTTCAACCTACTTGGTAGATACTAGATACATAAAGATGCTTGATATATTATCATCTCGTTGTGAAAGAGCAGAGTCTCTTAACACACACAACATATTTGCTTAAAAGGAGGCTCCAGTCTCAATTAATAAGTTCCGTAATGTGTTTTTGCAAATAAACGATTTTTATTTATTTATATATGTTACATGTTGCCGGGCAAGGGGTCTTAGTATTAGCACGGAGTCTGGAAATGTGCCTGGTATATGGCAATAGGCTCACCCACTATTACATGGGACTCATAACATAAATAATGAAAAGTAGGTGTCACATTGTACAGTGCCGAAATATGCACCTCTGCCTACCTCTTCGGGGATAAAAATTGTCGGGGCATGATGTTATGTTAATGTTGCTAAAATTATAAACATTGAAATACAAAATAATAACTGTATTATTACAACAATACTGTTAATACATTTCAGTACCAATTTCAATGTTGCCATGTTTAAAAACTTTCTCTTTCCTTGTATCGATTTTTGCGTAAAAACAGTAAAACATAACGAGATAGGTACTTATTCAAAGTTTAATCGTAAACAATGTTTTATGTTGTATATAAAAAGTTACTTTTTGTTCAGAAGATATTTTATTTTTCTTGTTAGTCTATGAATTCTAGGTCTGCTTCTGGTATAGAATTCTTTTGAATCAATGTCCAAATTCTCTATCCTGCAATCCCTAATAACTCCTTTATGTGGGTCCCAGATAGAAGTAGATTTGCTTGCTTCTTTCTATCGAAGTAGACCTATAAATAAAATAGGCGTGAAGCGAACTTACACATAGCTTAACAAAAATATTTAAAAGTATAGAAATACCTACAGGAGGACTGCAATGAAAAAAGTATGGCCGCCACGTTGTTAGAACGAATTCCAAATTCAAAGTTCAACAGAAATCCCTTTATTTATTTACCATGCCTTGTTTGCACTCGGTACTGGCCGACGAAGCAACCGTATCCTAAAATAACAAGAAATATCATTTAAAAATCGAATATAAATTGTGTGAAAAATAACAATGGTTTTGACAACACCTTTACCACATTGTGATACGGGTTGTTTTCCTTCAACAAATTTTGTTAGTACATCGAATCAGATTTACTCGAATCGACCGTGACGCGATTTAAAAAATCAAAGGTTTTTATTAAAAAAGTCTATAAATAAGGCAAAAATACACTATTTTGGCACGGTCGATACTTTTTTCGGAAAAATAAAGAATGTTGATATATTTATTGTATGGTCTTAAGATGTTGACAAAGGGATGATGAAGCGAGAATATCCTTTTGTTACCTGGTCTGGTTGGACCATTGATGTTTTTTTTTTAATTTATTCTTTGGATAGCTGTACTGACTTGTGCACGTAAGTATTGGCTAGAAAGCGTAAATTCTTAACTTTACTATTACTCATCATTCATCTTGCTTAGAGCATAAAATAATGCTTGACATACTATCTTGTTTGTAAGGTTTTGAGTGAGCTACTTACGTAAGTTTCGAGTTCGAAATTAAATTTCGTCAAAATTTTATATGTGAACTGAATCCCAGTCAATTTTGGTTGAAGTTTTATTAATGAAACACCAAAACCAATTTCTGCGAGCCTGTTTACTTGCAAGTGGCCACATTGCGCGTAGAGTCCCCAATGACCCCAATAATCGAGAGAAGCTTGAGGTTGTTGGTCAGGTTAACGGGAAAAGACCTCGTGGTCTCTAACCTACCCGGTGGCTAGATGCTGTAAACCTCACCAGCTTCCAGTTCCACAAGCCTAGCCAAGACGAGGGTTGTGCATCAAGTGACGCGTGCACCAGACTAGACACGACTATTATTGAAAAGAACGATAAAAAAAAAACAAATTATTTGTCAAAGTGTGTCCACTGTGAAAACTATGGTAATCAGATCAACAAAATCCATATTATGAAGAGTGACTAATACTAAATGCCACAGAAAAGAATATTCTTCCATGGATTAAAACATTCTTGAGCTTCACGCTATTCCTTGTTGTTCCACCTTTAAAGGTCTCTTTGACAACCATCCGAACGATAACTGTCAAAATATAATTTCCCTGTCTAGAAGAGTCATTGAACCTAATGAGGTATTCGTCAAAAACCCTTTAAAGTAACAGGTTGTCCAATCAATCAATAACCAAACCAAATTATCGACTTCTTTTCAACCATAGATAAGCGTAGAAAAATTATCGAAAACAAAAAAATATAAGGTGAACGTAACCATAATAAAAATAATACAAAGGAGTATTTATTTCGTACGGCTGTCATGTATCGTAAAATAAAACATTTTGTCAGTGAAACAAATTAGTGCAAGAACGTTAAATGTATTTATAACGTCAAGAGAGATCGACTCGTGCGCAGGTTACGCACCTGCTGTTCAATAATGTGGAGGTTCTCAAACTGTATTGTAGTAGCCAATAGTATATTTGTTCGTTCAATATTAACTGTGTTGTCTTCATCTGTTATTCTATTCGCTATCAAAAGGTTGGTCAGAGCAAATTTATTATTGTAACAACATAGCATCTAGACTGTTATATAGGGTTTTCTCTCATCGTCATTTTATCCCTTCGTTTTCCCTATTGAATGTCAATATGCTTTTTTTTTGTTCACCATTTGATCAATTAGTCATTTCATTTGACTTCACACAAATTCATTTGACTGCACGGTTGGTGCGGTGGCTGGGCTGGGCTGCCGTGCAACGTGTCGCGGGTTCGATTTCCGCACGGAACAACACTTTGTGTGATCCACAAATTGTTGTTTCGAGTCTGGGTGTCATTGTGTATGTGAACTTTTATGTTTGTAAACGCACCCACGACACAGGAGAAAATCCTACTATGGGACAAAGTTTTTTTTTTTAAATAAAAAGACAAATCCCATTTTATTTCGTTCCTTCTCATTTAATATTCTTACCTATGTAGCATTTCATTTACTTGACAATCTCCTCTCATATATGGCACCAATAAGGGGTATCTTGGGAAATTTCTACTGTATTCGATTACGACTACTTATATTTTTATAATAACTATCGTGAGACATCCTAAATTAATTAAAAATCGCGGGCTACACACGTGAAAATACTGACATCAGTAGGCTGCGCGACGTCGCCTCGATCGCGCACGCTG